TTTGGCTTGTTTACATTCCAAGTCACACAATCAATCAACAAACACACACACACACAGTGCTACAAAGGAAAGACCAAAGTGTGTAGCATGTACCGTTCCGTTAGTTGGGAGAAATGTTTTTGAATATTTGCCTATGAAAGCGACATATTGCAAGGGAATTATTCAGTGGAATCGTTATTTGTTGTCTCGTCGTATTAAAACAAAGAACAAGACGAGAGAAAAAAGCGCAGAGAAATGAAAAGGAATGAAATGAGATACCGGTACACCGAACCGATGCATAATGAAGGCTTCAGAATTTTCATACATGGAAATATGTCTAGACTTTGGATTACAGAAGAGCGAGAAAAAACAACAACAGCCAACGAATAAACAAACAAGTCGAGACAGGGCCACAGTTTGGCTTGATATGCAGTTGTGTGCATCGAAGGGTTTTTTTTCTGTTTTCATTCTTTGATCGATAATTTGGCATTATGTGCAGTGGCTGGCTGTGTGTATATTTTGTGCTTTCCATAGCGAGGGAACGCGGCACACGCTATTGTTGTCTTTAATCCTAATCATTCACCATATTTCGCTCTGTTCACCAGATTAAAATCTTTAATGATAATTTCAACAAAGCAGCTTTTACCACAACTTTCGCTCATCATTTTTCGTTTTTTTTCGTCTCGTTCGTTTGTTTCGTCTTTTTCGTCGATATTTTCGACGCGATATAGAATAAAATTTCACGCCAATGAAAAATGACTGGGTGCATTTTACATAAATTAAAATTTAATTGCTAGAATTGACAGAATCAGGAATCATATTCATAAAAAGTCGATTTTTTCCGCATTTAAAATTTAGCAACAATTTAACCGAAAGAGATTTCGTTTTGTATATCGATAAGAATAGTGGTTACTAAACAGTTTAACGAGCCATAAAGTGACGCTGTCGACCATTTATTCACTGATTGGATAAGAAAGTGTGCCGGAAAATGTTGTTTTAGCTCTTTTTGTTGTTGTTGCTGCTGCTGCTGCTGCTGCTGCTGCTGTTGTTCGCCATTTGGTTTGAAGCGTTTTGAATTTGTGGACGTTCTTTTTTGCTGTTTTGTTTGTGTGAAATGTTGCATATTTAAAGGTGATTTAATCAAAAAAAATATTAACAAAACAAAATGAGACCAAAAGAGCCAAACTCTAAAAAGTACAATACGGTAATTTTGCATTATTCCATTATTATTCTAAAAAAAAAAGAATGTGAAGCAGCAGCAGCAGCAGCAGCAGCAACAGCATTGAAAAGGCAGCCCACAGAACATGCACAGGCACACAAAAGAACAAGCGAACTGGGCGAAAATATTGTTTCTCTCTGTTTGTGTTGTGCTGCTGTTTTCTCTCTTCTCTTCACATTCTGCTGGCATTTAAATGAATGTACCAAAGCAAAAACGAAAAATGTGTAAATCGCATTGTGATTTGCATTATGACGGGAAGTTACACTCTATTTGGGTGCCACTGTTTGTGTAGCACGGTTGGGAAAGTTGGACTATCGCATCTAAATGAAAAACGCATCATAACAAAAGAATACCGAGAAAATATACGAGCAATGAGACGAACAAACATGAGTTGGAAATTTAAAAAAAACTGGAGCTTGAATACTAAAATATGGCAACTAACACAATCGGCCTTTTCATTGTGGCAACAACAGAAGCAACAGCCACAGAAGAGTTTCTATATTGAACTGGAATGATTATTGAAAATTTCTAAATTGCAGACGCTCGACACACACACACAGAGAGAGAGAGAGAAGAGAGAGAGAGAGAGAGAGAGAGAGAGATGAAGCCGGAGTAAAGATAATCGAAAAAAGTATCGGGGGCCCTTTTGTTGTGTGATCCGTGTGGTGATTTGGCGCAAAGGTGACCGACGAACGGTTTAGCACAATGAACGAAAGAGCATAATTATGTTTTAAAAAAAATCGACAAAATAAACGAAGCGATATTTTTCTGTTGCAAATGTACATTTGACCATTTTCCATACATTTCCTCAATTCATTTGCGCCCGCACCGCATAGAACACACACACACAGTACAGACGTTCACCGACACACACTTCGCTGAGTTGTGGATGACACAATGGCCAAATGCCTCGTTTGTCGCTATTATTCACCTGAAGAAATTTTCATTTGCAATTGGCGCTGCCATTTATGACACGAGAATCGACTACGCTCTATTCGCCATGAAGACAAAGCCCGAATTGAACAAAAAAAAATACGCTTTGCACGTGTTTGCAGGTAAATCGTGTGAAAAGCAAATAATTGAAAAGAAAATCAATGTGCCGTGTCAACAAACAAAGCAAAACAACGAAATAGAGAAAAAAAAGAATGTATGTGATACGCGAACGCGCGCGCACTCAATTTTCAAATGCCAAACTAGAGAAAGAATTGAGTGTCTGTGTGGCGAGAGAACGAGATACATGATCATAGATATGTTTGCGGGCCATGGAGACACAAATACGCATAATTTGATCTCGATTTTATTTCATTTTTCATTTGTTGCTTTTGTTTGTGCCTACTTTTGTTGTTTACGATGCCGAGGCTGCGGCGGAATTGGTAAAAGAAGCACAAAGAGAGTGCGAGAGACAGAGATAAAGAGTAGGAGAGAGAAAAGCTGTTTTGGTGAAAATTAAAACACATATTTTTCAATAAAAATTGGATGGAAATTGGTATCGCCGCATTTGTTTGGGTGTAGTAGGTGTTCGGGTCTCAGTCCGTGCCATGCAGCAAGAAAGTTGAACAAGATAATCAAATGAGTTAAGCGTTTCGGCATTCGGTGTGTTGATTCGTATCCACATTTGGAAAACAGCATTCATGTAATTCAGATTGAACGAGCAATCGAAATTATAAATTTCGCTATGTTCGTCGCTCTCCATCGTCTCGGTCTGAATTAAAGTACGCTGTTTGTTTTCTGTTTGCTTCTGCTTTGCCTGAAATCGACGCCACACTCTCAAAAGCATCGGTCTCCGCACCGAAATGCGATGCAAACGAGAGATTATACAGCGATTCAATTCAATTTTAAAGCAGCACAAAGAAAAAGGCAGCCGCATTTGAGATACAGAGACTATGCACTCGTTGTGTATATATACAAATTTGCGTTCGGGTTTTGTCGCTTTTGTTTAGAAAGTTGAATGATTTAACCCATAAATAAATTACAAATTAAATGCCACACATCGACTCTAGCATTGATTCAATTGCTGCATCGTTTTGCGAATCTATATCAGATGCTTGGGTGAAAGATGGCGAAATGAAAGAGGAAAAAAAAGCGAAAAAAGAAAGAGACTGATTTGGCGATAGAGAGAAAGAGACGAGGAGAAATAGAGACCGAGCCAAAGACAGATTGAAATAATAGCCGTATAACATGAACTGGGACTCTCTGACTCTAACATCTCGATGTTGATTTTTCTCGCTCATTATGTTTTTTACAGATAATAGTTGAAAATTGAGTTGGATTGGTTCCTTTGAAAGCTGCTGTGCTACTGCATCTACTGATGCTGCTGCAGCTACGCCGTAAATTATTCGAATAACGGTCCGAGATAGACTAGCGCTCGTTCTCATTTATCTCCACCGACATTGAACATAAGCTGTTTAGAGTTTTTTAAAGTCGATATACCTTACCCATAGCCAGATGCCACTACATAGAGGATCATAATTTATATGCAGTAGGCGCTTCATTGTATTCTCGATTCGGCATATACAAAACATGATCCAAACCAAAATAAAAACAACAATCCAAACCAAATCTGCAAGGTTTCTACTGCTAAAAAAGAACGTGGGCGACCAGACCAATTCAAATAACAAGAGAGAAAAACAAATTCTTCGAACTCCAAATAGAGCTTAGGCAATAAAAGGCAATCGGATTTTTTTTTTATAATTTTTTCAATATGCGTTTCTTTTTATTATCATTAATATTATAATCTGCAATTATTCAAGGTAAGTTATATATATATATATATATATATATATTTATAAATTTATATCAATTAATTTTTTGTTTTTTGTTGTTTTTTTTTATCCATTAAACATTACTAGGAGCGAGAAATTACATGTATTTCCATCATCATCATAATAAATTTTTGTTCTTTGTGTTTCTTCAAAAATTGTTGCCAGTAGTGTGAAGACGGTATCATTGCATTTAGATTAATATAATTCGATGTTCGACTAAATTCAGTAGTCAAAAATCTGTGGGTGCACAGTGGGAGCAACAGTCTCAGTCACAGTGCATACCAAATTTGAACTAAATAGAAGAGACCGTTTGAACATGATAATTTTTCGCTGAAAGTAAATTCATTTTTTCCCATAAATTGTTTCATTTTCATTAATTGTTGTGTGTGTGTTTTTTTTTGTGTTGATTTTTTCTTTTCTGCAATTTTTTTTTCTCTATAGTATATAGTGTTTTTTTTTTTCATATATATTTTTTCATGCATAACTTTTTGTCACTTGGATTTGAATCAGATAGATCAGTGTGTGCAACGCAACTTTTTCATTGACCAATGCACACAGAAATACATTGCGAGCTGGATACTCACAATGATTAAAATAAATCGAATTGCACGCATGCGCACACCCGCTCTGTCTCTGATTTCCAATGTGTTTTTTTTTAGTTTTTCCAGTATGTCCATCATCATTATAAATCATACAGTGTATTGTATTTTTTGTCAGTTTTATGTCCATTTCCATCGTCATATTTTTTGTTTCCATTATAATGTAATTTTTAGGAGATCACATTTTTCTTTACACATAATATTATCGTTTTTTTTTCATCTTCATCTTCTTCATTTAATTATTACTATCCATCATAATATGTTTTCTTGAATTGTGTTTTCTTCCCTCTTCTTTGTTGATGTTGTTGTTGTTGTTGTTGTTGTTTCTACTTTTGATGTTATTTGATGACATTAAAATGGTTTTACTTCTTTGCTTTTTCAATTTTTTTTTATCAATATATTTTTTTATATCGTTTTTTTTGTGTGTTTGTTTGTTTGTTAAAAAAAAAGACAATCTATACAAATATGTGAAAAAAGATTACAAGTATGATAGTAAAAATTAAATTGGAATAAAACCGTAAATTAAAGTCAAAATCATAAAAAGACAAAAAAAAAATTAAAAAGTTGTAAAAAAAAGTGCACAGAAAAATGTTTTTTTTTCTTCATCAACGCCGCCAACGACGAAAGAAAAAAGGAAGAACACAAAGAAAACCGAAAGTAAATACAAAAAAAAATTGTTTTTGTTTTTTCTTCTATAGATTAATTTTATACACGCAAAAAAAAACACAAGAAACGAAAAAAATGTAAGCTAATATTAAAATCGATGAATATTTCATTTGTTATGTTTGTCTTTTCTTCTAGTTAAATGTACTTAACAGGTTTCTTGTTTCTCTCTATAGTTTCTTGTTTTTGTTGCTGGTGAAAAACACAATTAGTTCCTATCGATGGGCATGGAATCAATTTGATTCTTTCTTCGTTTCGCTTATCTGTTATGCATTTTTTTGTTTTTTTGTGTGGCGAAATGCAAACATCCTATTGACTGAATAGATGCGCCCGTGTCGTGTTGTCGGGCCCTTTCGAAAATTGGTGTGTGTGTGTGTGTGTGAGCAATGTGGTGCACGCCCGTTGGGCCCAAACATGAGAATCATGGCTAACACACACGCAGTTCTCATCGATTGATCTCAATTTGGATTGTGTTTCATTCCGAAAATATTGGTGGCAATCCATTTTGCTCTGACCTCATCGTATGATTCGGAAAAAGGAATGACATAAACAAAGAACAAAAAAATGTTAAATTAGACAAAAAAATGTAAAAGAAGCTCTTCTTTTTTTTGTCGTGTGTTTCTAAGGTACTGTTTATGACAATCATATTCGAATTCTATTTGAAAAGTTTGTTTTTTTTTGTTTAATTAATGTCTACGGCTATTTGCACATCACATGAAATTTACATTTATTTCTTACGTTTGTTTCTTTATTAAATGTTTCTTTGTATTTTTCAAATGAAATCTTTGAATGTTCCTTTTTGAATCGATACGAATCAATAGTCGGATGCGGGCGATATTTGAATAGAAAGTCAAAAGAATTTTCTTTTGTTTTTGTTTCTTCTTTTGTTTTTGTTTTGTTATCAAAAAACCGTTCAAAAAGAGACATCGCAGGAAAGAAATAAAAAAAAAACTCTCCTTCTTCGCCTTGGTTTTTTGTCGTTTTTAAATCGAATGAAATGTTTCTTGTCAGTCATATCATTTTGAATGGTTTCTCTATGTTTTATGTTATTAGCTACTTGCTGCTGCTGCTGCTGCTGCTGCTGTTTGCACTGTTTGACTCAAGTGATTTGCATAGGGTTTTTTCTTTACTTTGTTGTGTTATGTAGTTCATTAGATGACTTCGTTCATAATTATTTTTTTCTTCATCTTCTTCTTTTTTTGGTTTTTATGGGTGAAGCTATGAACATTCAAACAAATATCAATAAAAATGTTTTTACATTGGATATACACTGATACACCTAGTACATTTATATTGGGTCTACTTTATACAAATGCAGAAGAACACAAATCGATTGAACTGATTTTAGCTCGTTTTTTTTTTCTGGGTGGTGGTTTCAATAAACTCAAATTAATGCAATGGATTCGATTTTTTTTCTGTCAGCGTTCATTTTTGTGTGGTTATTTTTGTAATCACCATGTCAATTTATGACTGACTGTTAGTGTTGTTTCTAGGGTCAATAAATCACCTGTCTTTTCTTGCAATCATACATGAGGCACACACAAATTAAGTATCGTTATCCATTTACCGGAAGTAATGAATCCGTGGAGATTATTCCATGACGGTAAACGAATGAGGATACTAATTACCCGAAAAGGCCATATCCACCCGTCGAATCAAAAAGAACCAAAAATAATGTCAACAAAAATGAGTAAGAATGGTGTGTTTTCATAAAAAGACGGGATCGATTTGTCACACGATAAAAACACGCTTTGCTCATATTTGTTCGGAAACGGAACAAAAGCGCGCGCGCGCGTATGTTCAACGTATTTGTATAAATAAATCTGCGCTCTAATTGCATTGTCATTTAAATATTTTATGTGGATTGTTTGTGTGTGTTTGTGTGTATAAGTATATGTCTTCATAATATATAATTTCTACTAAAATTTATTCCTGAAACAGATTAATTCGGGGAAAAAAAGAACACGTCTCGCGTCTTTATGCATGTGATTTGAGGAAGGGGTGTGTATGTGAGAGTGAGTGAGTGAATGTATGGAATAGGACTACATGTACAATATTCAATATAACTTTAGTTGATTCTTTTCTTTTCTATACATTTTGTTTTCTCACCCTCTATCGATTACTATAATAAACTTTCCACTAAAAATGTTTCCCTTCATACATGCTTCTTTCACCTCATCTTGTTGCTGGGTTTGATTTTTACAAAGAGTTTTTTTTTAAATTCTTTTCTTAAAATTGTTTATTCAAATTTTTCGTTATTTTTTAATTATTTGGTTCAAAATATATAAAAATGCGAAATAGACAAAATTTAGTACAAAAAAGCGTGCGGTGTCATTTATATACTTGATTCATTTGGTATGAAAAAATGTATGCACGCTCAACATGCCAAAAAGATTTTTTAATGAATTTGCTATATATTCATTGAAGAAATTCAAAAAGAAATTGAATTTGGAAACAAACAGCGAAGAAAGAGGGGATACAATTTAAATCACAATCGAAAGTCGCGACAGTCTCGACAAATTAACATCGACCAATTAAATAACTTTTTTTCAATAGAGATAGACTGATGAACAATGTGCATAGGATTTGTTTTTTTCTTCTTTCTCTGGGTATGCATTGTACGTGTGTTCGACGAACACTGCACGTATATTATGTCATTGTTAATTGCATACCATTTTTTTAAAATGAGATTTGCTTGTCATTTGCTCTATTAAAAAAAACAACTAAAGCCATACACATACAAAAAGAAAAACTGATCACGTAATTCAATATTTGACAAGAGGAGACAAATGATAAAGCACATTTTTTCTTTCCAATTCATTTCAACAATTCTAGAGGGATTTTCAACGTGAAAATGAAATTCAATTTGGAACTAGACGAAACATTTCTATTTTTTCTCAAATTTCACTATTTTGCAAACCAAAAGTGCTTGAAGTTAGACTAAAATATTGGTCTGGCTACGTAGGATTTGGTTTAACCAAGAATGGCCATCTTGGTTTCATCAATATACATATGACAATCACAGGTATTCATAAAAAAAATTAAAGTGAATCTATCTTTCTCTTTTCTTCCCTAATTTAACAGAAAGCAAACACATTTGCAATTCAAATTTTTTTTTTTTAAGTCAATACAATTTGTTAAGAGTTTTCTTCTTTTTGAGAGTTACTTAAATTTACGTGGTTTTTCTAATGAAATTTCCATATATTTTTTATTGTTTGGTTTTTGTTTTGCTACGAAGATACAGAACTATATCAATACAATTTAGATTATTATCAAAAAAGAGAACGATGACAAGAATTGTGTGTTGTTGTGGGTGAGAAAAATTTTCTTCTTCAATACATTTAATTGGGTTTAATGTTATGAACGTGCGTATTTTTTTGTTGAATATATTTCGTAAAGTTTAAATTTTTGTTGGTTGGTTGTTTTATATCAAAGATGTTGGTTGTTGCATAAAATTGATGTTTTTTTCCTCATTAAATTTAATTATTGTTACTGCTGTGATTCAATTTCGGTTTGGGAACACGATTGATTGTGCGTGTGGCCGATTGAGCTATCGATGAATTAGTGGCTATGCCACAACACGCAATTGTCGCACAATTAATACTGAAATGAAGAAAAATGCACGCAAACACACATTGACACTTTTCTTGCTATGTGCTTGGGGGAGGATATGAGATTGAAGAAATTTCTCGCTCTAATTTACATTAAAAATGCATACGGTTGCATGTTGCTTATTAATGAGGATCAAACAATTAACAATGCAGAAAAAAAATCGATTTGAAACATGTCATTATTATGGCCACAAATGTGTTTTTGCGTGTGTTGTCATCTCTCACATCATATTCGAAAGAAAGCAAGAAAATGCAGATTATTTTTCTTAAAATTCTCATACATCGTGCATTGAATTCTTGTTGGAATCATGCAAAAAAAGGACAAATTAAAAAAAAAAATTGAAGAAAACAGCTGATTTACTTCGTTTCAAAGCCTTAATGTAAAGCCAAAAAAAAAACAATCGTCTGTTTCATCTGGTTTCAATTAGCATGTATGTGTGTGAGTGAGAATGAATGGTTGTTGTGTGAGAGTCGTTCGGCTATAAAATTCACGAAATCCCTAATTTAATTACATTGACTTGCATTTTTTGCTCTTTGTATCTATTTGATTTTGTTTTTTATTCATTTTTTTTCATAACTTGTTGTCTGATTATTTACGACCTATTTATTATTTCACGTGTGATAACTGGTTTTTCTTCAAAAAATTGTTTATTCCAAGCAATTTCACCAGGGGGCGCTCAATAGAACTGCTAGCTCGAGATCGACCGAGTGGCAAAAATGCATTCGGACAAAAGAGTAAAATGGTTGTGCTTTATCAAATTATTGTATTCGCGACACCGTAACGATGGTTCGTTTGGTTCGTGCGGTGGAAATCTCATTCAGAATATAATTGTTTGTTTATATCAAAAGAGATTTGCTCCTGTTTTGAATTTTATTTTTATTTTTCATCTTTCTCCTGTCTATGTACATAATTCGCTTTGTTAAATTTAGCGACGTTTTAGTTAAATGTTTTTGATTCTGTTCGTCTGTTTATTTTAATATGGTGGATGATGTGGCTTCTGTTTTAGCGAAGTTTCTATGGTTTGTTTTCTAATGTAAGGTTCTTGTTATTGTAATGAAACGAAAAAGTTTAAATTGAATTGACACAAACGTACTACTGGGTCTCTGTTCAAAATATATTGAAATTAGATTCAATAGATCGAACAAATATCATCGCGAGCGTTCGAAATCAGTTGCTACGGAGGGAGTGGGACTTCAGAAAACAAAATTCGTTTTCATTTGTTTCGTTGAATTTTTCTTCGATATAATTTATTTATTTTTTTGTCTGTTCAAAAACAAATTACATTTTACACAGTCTGAGTTGTAAAAGTTTCCGCTTATTGTTGTTGCTGTTGGTTTGCATCGATATCAAAGACAAGTAAATGGCTACTTTCCAATATACATGCGTATTTTATATTTTGCTCTGGCTTTTGTTCATTCAAGACGTGTATGTGTTGGTGGTGGTATGATTTTCAAAGAGAAATTTTATCGTTTTGTGCATTTTGTGGGGGTATGTTTCTTATCGTGGTGTATTGTTTTCTCTGAACTCGCGAAAACATCTTATACATTTTTTAAATATGAATCTTTTGCAATTTCAGTTGTTATTTTTTTTTAATGTTTTACTTGAAATACGATAAACTATTTAATTGAGTCCTATGGGCCCATATTCCATACAAATCAACTTTAAATTCAGTTGTTATTTTTTTTTTTTTTATATCATTGCATACGCACTCGCGTTGCCTATCATCAAATATTTCTTTCGTTTTTTTTCGAGTTTGTTTCACATAAACACTCTCTTTCTACATAGTAGTTCCATTTTGTGTCGAAAATGCTTTCCGTTTTCGCTGGTTTTCTGTCTTGCTTCAACTCATTCAAATATGTTAGGATCGTTAAAATAAACATTTCATCGGGTTTAATAAATTTTTCATTTCCTATTATTTCTCTTTTGTACAAGATAAAAATAATAAATAAAATATTTAAATATTAGTTACATTTTTCTTTCTGTTTCGACTTGCATATTCAAGTGAAGCCTTGAAGAGATGGTTTTTTTGTTTGTTTTTCTACTCAAAGTTTTTTCGCTTTTTTTTTGTCTGATGTGTGTGAGTCATTGTCACAAATGAATTTTTTGTTTCTTCCCTTCCATGCGGTGCTTGTGTATAGTTGATTAATTTTTCGGTTTTTTTTTCGTCGGTATTCACTTTCGTTTTCTTTGCTTCTTTATTTTTTTTTGTCTCTGCGGGTTGTTGAAAATGGTTTTCTCTGTTGAAGTTGTTGCTTTTTAGTAATTTAGTGCGATTTGGATATGTTGATCACGTTTGATGAATTTCGCTGAATCGCACATGGTCCGTAAATCGTTCGTTGAAAGGTCAATTTATCCGCACAACACCTGAAATCCACAAAAAGAGAAGAAAAAAAATCGTTAGACAAAACTCAATTAAAGTCAATAATGTAATTTATGGCTTAAGAACTGTCACACACTCAAACAACAACGACAACTATGCTGCAAATATGGAGAATTTTAATTACAAAGTGCAACGAAAAATTGCTTAACCGCATGTCAGTCAACTCTCTCAGAATGTTGTGGTGGCAAATGCTTTATTGGACAAAATCGTGCACACAGCAGCAGCACAGAGGCAAAATCGATTTTTTTTTTCTCTCCATATATACAGTAGATTCATAGACACATACGCCAAAGAACATAGATATGGTAGCACGAGTTCAATATGCATATTCGTTTTTAGCCACCATGTATATATAGTAAATGTAGCATGCACATTTATGGTGAACCAAAGTAATAAAGGCTCTGCAGCGAACGCGATAGATACACCAGCCAATTGGTTCGGTTTCGCCTTTGCAATTCACTCAAATGGAAGTTGGCAACATAGTAGACAATAAAGGTTTTCTCTCTCTCTCACACTCGTTCGCTTTATAAGTACATTATAAAAAAAAACACACTGAAAGAGTCTAAAATGTTTTGAATTGTTGTGGCTTTATGTATGTCATCGAGCGTTGACATCAAAGCTCATAAATATGGAAACTGAGGCGCTTTTGCATACACGCGCACAAACCGAATAACAGAACCGTTAGGCATGAGAATCATATGCGATGAACGTGTGCTTAAGTACAGCCACATCGTGTGTAAGTTTCATTACAAATTATTTAAAACAGAAAAATCGATTGTTTTTTGTTTCTTTTTCTGTGAGGCTGAGGTGGGCCGACAATAATAAAAGTCACTTCATTAGGAGAGTGAGGACGAATAAAAAATGCAATGATATTATTTTTCCATCACGTTCAATCAATGAATAAATAATTACATTGATGGTTTTAAAATCGACGGAAGTGTTGATGGAACGATTGCCACCCGAAACCAGCATCAGGCTTATGCAAATATGGGGACGCAAAAAAAATGGAATGCAACCAATTGATCGACCGAATGATTGAATTATGCGCAATTTGAAATCATGCAGAAAACCACATTCCAAATCAATCAAATTGAGAACGAAGCCAACAGCAATCGAGAGGAGGCAACACCAATGAGAGAGAGAGAGAGAGAGAGAGAGAGAAATAGAAAAAAACTACCTTAAAAAACAAAATCTGAAATCCGATGACACATTCAACATTTCAAATGCTATCCAAAAATAACAGTGCATCGAACAGAGTGTGTCGTTCGCTTGTTATTTTCGAAAACACATACACACACACACATCAATTTTAAAGTGGATATCAAGAGTTAAAGAGTGGGCAAGTTTTTGTTTTGTTCTCTATACGGATTGGATTTTTGTGCGGTTTCTTCACGTTGCACATGTGCTCATAATTTTAATCCTCGACATGATTTTCGTCACTGTTTTTGGATTTTGTCGTGTGTTGTTTTTTTCTGGCTGCGTTGCGTTACTGTGTGTGGCTCGTACGTAAATAGAGAGCATGGCTTCGAACAGCGATGACAGAGGAGGAGAGAAGAACCAAAAACACATATTCATGTTTTTGCATGTTTCGGGCATGAACGAGCGAATGTGTGTTCCGTATGGATATGCAAATAAGTGCAAAATATGTCGATCACTCGAAGTTGAAATGGACGAAATCAAATCGAATTAACAATATACATGTGAATCGAGTGGGAATTACACACTGACGCCGTCCACGAAATAGCAGAGAAAAAAAATGGCAAATCAAAATAAAAACTAGATAGAGATAGCTGATTGGGAAGCAAAATATTAAAATTTTATGCATGAAATTGGAATGATTCATACGCAGAGAGTCGTTTGCGAGAAAGACTTCCGTGAAACGAGCACACAAACACACGTATACATGCACCAAAACGCCCAATAACGGAACGAAGTTATAAATCTATTATCGCCTATTTCTATCTATGTTATTTACAACTTAAATATTTTTCACTACGCTCGACAGCGGCAGTAGCAGCAGCACCAGTTCGATTTCTGTCAGCTCGACAGAGTAGCCACACCAATCGATCCACTCAAAACACTAGGCATTACATCTAACTTTTTACGGTAATCGTATGCATGTGCATTGGCAAACGGGCAACGACGACGATAGCAACAACAACGATGAAAGAAAAAAAAATGTGTCATTTCACGTTTCTATCACTTTACGATGGTATTATAAGCTATATTTATAAGCGAGCTCGACGAATGAGCCGACTGAGGCTAAAATTATTTCCTACTTTTAATTTAGTTCTGGTACTGGTGCTGTGTGTGTTTTTTGCTGTTGCTTGCTCGCTTGCTTCCCTTGCCCCTTCACACAATTAAGCGCCTGCCATTAACATCGGAATTGCATTTATTTTCAGGAAATTATTATTTTCGCTGATATCAACGGCTTGTTGCTGTTTCAACTTTGCAGCGACTAAATGGCAAATTGTCAATTTTAATGTTGCTAATGTGATGTGTCAACTTTTATCATCTCGTGCGCTGGATTCGTTCGGTCAAGACATGTCAAAGACGAAACAAATACCATCAATCGGTATAACTCAATTTTGGCAGCTGTATGAGAAAATCATCAAGCGCAAAAAGGAGGTTTCGAAACGATGTCGATTCAATGAAATAAATTTTGCGTTCGGCTTTGTTTTTCCCTTCATTTTCGTAACCGTTTGATGTGTTGTTTCTTTCCACTGTACAAGTAGATTATTCATTGACCGTACTTTTTACAACAAAGAAACGAAACGATACAATACGGCAACAACAACGAAAAAAATGCCCGATTAAAAAAATGATTTTAATCGATTCAATCCATCAATTGATATGCGGTATTGCTATTGCAGTCACTTGTTTGTAAGCGTTCGCCAAGAGGTGAATGTATGAATATTAGGCCAAAGTATACACACAATGCGTTGCGATGTGCTGCGGTTGTGTTGTTGCTGTTGCTGTTTTTTATTCGTTCGTTCAGTTTCTAATTTCAACGGGGTCGTTCATTGATTTCAACAACAAATTCATTAGTAAATTTTGCAGCAGCATCTACACGGACGTTTTAGTGTGTGAGAGTGGTGCGGTGAATCGACGCCATCTACAACAACAAATGTGTGAATTTGTGTTTAATGCCAACCCGAATGAAGTGAGAGAAAAAACGCACATATAGTATTTTGTTTCCCATTGTGCATCGGCACGATTGTATTCGTAAGTGGATTCAGTGTTGTTGCTGGGTTTTTTTTCGTTTGTTCGTTATTTAGCTGAGCGCGAGTTCAATAGCCGCGCTCGTTGTAGAAAAAAAAGACGCTAAACTATCAATTACTCAAGCCCACAGACGTACACACACACACACAAAGGAGAGAGAGAGAGAAAAAGAAACATATGTATACGAAGCAAAATTCAATATTGCAAGCGATTAGATTTTAACACATCCACAAATTGCATAGAAACTGAAACATGCGAACTAAAACGTCGTGCATTCGCAGTGGTGCCGTGTGCGTTGCTGTTTATTCGTCGTCTTTGGCTCAACGATAGAAAGAAAGAAAAAAAACCACTTGTGTTAAATTGAATGGCGAGTTGTTTGCACCGAATATGTGAATACGTGATTGTCGACTGACAGCATATGACTTGAGTAATTGAAGAGTACGATGTTCAAATCATGCTTTTATGTCCAAGCCGCGCGCGCGCGCGCACACTGTATGTGATGGTCGCATAACAATCTCAAAATAAATGCCGTTTTTTTTTATTTTCGTGAGTAAATTTTTTTTGCCCTGCCTCTCTTTTCATCTCATCACACACCATGCCATTTATGACCGATGTGTTTTCATTCATTTTAGATGTGTGATGTCAACATGAATGTAATTTTTGTTCAGTACGTCTTTTTTTTCTTGTTCACTTTGGCCGAAACCACGAAAATAAAAACAATATTGTGTAATATTTGATCTGCAAAAAGTAGCGAAATAAAATGCGAAATATTGGCGAGTCAGAGTTGCATAAGTTTGAAGGAGAGAGACGAAAAAACTGAATCCACTGAGCTACTAGGCACTTAATAAGCAGCAACAGTGTTTGCACACGAAGAAGAGAAAAAACGTAGCCCGAATAGATGGCGAAAATGAGTAACAAATGGTGGACCAATCGCATTGATTGCATGCATAATACGAACAATCCAATCCCATCGGACAAAAAATAGCCACATTGCATATTAAATTCAACAAAAAGCGTTTGCCGTTAAAAAAAAAACAGCACATTGATTAAATAATGCTCATCATCAAAATAGGGAGACTATCGCATTGACATCTTGCGCTCGATGATGGTTGCGTTTCATTGCCGCTTGCTCACGTTTGATATTGGTGAACTATGACTAATCGCATTTCGATGGTTTTCATTTCCATCACGGTAACACATTAGTCATTAGCCATTTGATATTTCTGCTTTGATGACTCACTCTTGCTATTTAATGTTCGCGCAGGTTTTGCCAACCATGAATTTGACATGAGTTTTGCTAATTTGATTGTATCTTAGGTGTTTTACTTCTACTTTGGCCAATTCGATAATATCTTTGCCGAAAACAAAAATTCGATTGTCAAGAATAACAAGCAAAACCGCTGAAATAATTATCAAATCCAAATGCATTGATTTTATAGAAAAAAAAACTCGAAGGCCATTAGAGAGGAAATCGTCCAACAGATCTGTTTGTATTTTCGAGTAAATATTTAAGATTTTGTATAAATCACGGTCAATATTATTTGTTCACATTTCAAACCAATGTTGACAATCTACTATAGAAAAAAAAAGACTTGTCTTTTCTTGAAGTTTCAACGAATTCACGGGAAGAGAAGACGATGGCGTTGTCAAAAGTGTACACTGTTCAAATAGACGTGTTCAAAATGGAATGTGCAGCGAGACATCTCGTTCGAGTCGCATTCGAGTTGAACATGTTTTGGAGGGAAAAAGAAGAAAAATACTC